TTCATCAAATATACCTTTAGAAGCTCTTGCTGTTTGTTTTTATATTTCTTGACAATTTACTTTCTTTACCAATTTGCTCCTCTTTTATCAGCTTTTTAGTTATCTACTGCCATTTCCTGAAAAAATTCTAAATCCATTAGTTTTGCTGCTTTATATATCTTAGTTTTTGATTAAATACTCTCCTTGATCACTTTGTTAATCACAGGTGGTTCATCCTTCTCAACAAGTCCATTTTTTTTGGCCAGAATAAATTGTTGCTGAGCATGATGAACTATCTGCTTAAATGTATTCCATTGCACTGCTAACCTACTGATCTTCCCCTTAGTCTACTTTCTGAGCCCACTTTAGACAACTCTTACTTCACACCTCTGTAATTGCCTTTATTTATTTTGAGCTTGAGACTCGAGTTGCTCCGCCTCAAACTGAAATTGAAATTCCTCTAAGTGGTGATCGTTACCCCTTACAGAATCCTTAACTATGAGATCTCTTATCAATCCTACCTCATTAGACATTACTAGATCTATAATAGCCTATTCCTGGGTTGACTGTGCAAAGTACTGCCCTAAGAAACAATTCCTGATCCACTCTATAAATTGACCTTCCATGATACCCTTGCTTATGTGATTTGTCCATCAATAGAAAGATTAAAGTCACCCATAACAATTGCATACAAGTCTTACACACCTCTATTATTTCCGGATTTATACTTTGTCCTGCAGTGAGGCAACTCTTTGGGAGATAATTAACAATTCCCTGTGACCTCTTTCTCTGGCTATTCCTTATTTCCACCCAAACTGAATTCACATTGTGATCTCTTGCACCTATATGTCTGCCATGATTGGAATAAATCACCTTACATGCATAATTATATTGCACTCTGGTGATCCTAAGCCCTTCAGGACTCTAGTTACATGTCCTGCAATATGCAAGTTGTGGCCTATAATTTGTTGAGTTTCTAATGACAACAATACATTAGATAGAAATTCTGTTATCAGTTCAGACAAATCCTCAATGACAGATAGAATATCATTGAATGCAATTTTCCTGAAATGTTCCCACTCATGTTTCAGGAGTTTTTCAAGCCAGCATCAGGGAAATAGAAATAGAAATTGAAATAGAAGTTTATCAGCTTCTGGGATGGAGAACTGTATAAGTAGATTAAGGGAGAAAGAAAAAAAAGTACAGCTGAGGAATGTAGTATAAAGTAATGATTCTGAAAAGTTAATGTTCATATTACATTGGCTTCACCTAATCTCATGATGCCACACATAATTGATGGGTGTACTACCCTAGCTTTTAGTGGGAACCAATGTATATTTCTTAGCTCCCTAAGTTGCTAACATTAATCAATTACCAAATATATTTGTACATTTTGCTTTCATACAGTAAACTGCCTTGTTATCTGAAAATAGCGCCTCTTCTGTAGACATTCTCTGGTGGCTTATACTCTGCCACTAATCACTAGATAACAATGACAACAGAGACAAAGAAGGATTGGTGGCAGTGAACTACCTCAATTCTTATCCATTACCAGATACTGACAGGGGTGGTAAATACAACAAGTTGCCAATAGTGGTCATCTGGGAAAATACCACAGGCAGAAATACTAAGTGTTATGAAACTAGGAAAGTATGCTCATTATACTATGAGAATTAATAATTTTTGTTACATTCCAAGCTCAATCATTAAGTCAACAAAACAGGAATTAGTATATAATATAAAATTAAAGTGGCAGTTTTATTTATGCCAATAATAATTTCATCAACTGTATCAATATTTACATGAACTTTCCCTATTCCTTCACTGGCCTTGTCTGGTATTAGCCTTGGCTCAATGGGAACCAATTAGTCTTTGAATCAGATGGTTAAGGGTTGAAAGACTCATTCCAGTAACTGAGGCACATAAGCCAATCTGACATTTCAATTTAGTACTGAGGGAATGCTTGTTTGAGATACCTTTTTCATTTGAGTCATTAACCAAAACTCTATTTTTCTTATCAGATTTATGTAAATTATAAAAAGACTAATTTTTATTGCTATATTTGCAATCTTGCCATGTGTAATTTGGCTGCCATGTTTGACTTTACAATTGTTCCACGTTTTAAAAGTACATCATTGGCAATGAGAAAGTGAATGACATTCTTAGAAAGACAAGTATTTCTTTCCTTAGGATAACAATAATTTGTTTTATATGAGGAAGGATGCAGCCATTGCAGAATTATTGCCTTCCATCATAATTAGCTCTGGAAACTCTTAATTATTCATTTTTACAGCAATATGGCTAAGAGAAAATAACCTGTAACTAATACAAGTAACACTGTTCACAATTTAACATACAATGACACTGAAGAAAGATAATTACTGTAGATGTTTGCTGGAAATTGGGATTAGTCTAGATATGTTGGCACAAACTTGATGCGCCAAAGGGCCAGCTCTGCACTGTAGGATTCAACATCATTCAAGCTTTGAAAGAGTTGAATTTGAGCAAACTAATGTTGATAATATGCCAGTGAATATCTTTTGGCCAATCTGCCAATGATATCATACTAGTCTAATTTGTACCTCTACAGTATTATTTTCATATTCTTCTATCAGGAGAGAGTTCTTCTGTCATTCTCTTCCAATGCTCAAGAATATTGTCTCTATTCTCATGTCTGATCTTCCTTTAAAAACCAATAAGCTTATTAAATAATGTTGTTTTAACACTAAACTGCTATTCAAACCTTAGTTACTAAATATACTTTCTAAAAATATAACGATCTGCAATCTAAAAAAAAACAGAAAAAATACTAGAGAAATTCAGCAGGTGTGGCAGCATCCGTGGAGAGAAAATAGATTGACTCTTTCAAGTTCAATGACTCTTCTTCAGAACACTATTCTGTCACATATTAGTGTACTGATATTTTTCTGTACTTTATTTTAGTTGATATTCTGTATGATGAAGTTAGCCAAATGGAAAAGGGAGATAACCCACCAATTAAATGTGGAATTAATGTTACATAAGCAAAAATATAAATGATCTATGGATGACATTACTTTTTAATCAGATTTTAGCTCTATTAAGAATTATGAAATGATTGACTGAGTCTTGATAGCTGCCTGTGTAAAGTGACATGGCCAAGGTTTGTGATCCAATTCACTAAACGCTCAATGGATCAAAGGGACGGACTGTGCTTTTATGGGTAACTGTGGCCCTATGGCTAACAGTTAGAGATCAACAAGCATGATGGGAAATTATACAAATTTTACATAAACACCAGATCAGCTTGCTGTGAAAAGTACTGCCAAGTAGGCAAATGGCTGATGGGAGTCAGTCACATTGTGGTTCTATCAGTAGGCTATTAATCCAGAGACCCAAGTATTGTCCTGGGGACCTAGTTTGAATTTCCACCATGGCAGATGGTGGAATTTGAATTCAATTAAAATCTGGAATCAACAGTCTGATGATGATTATGAATACATTGTTGATTGTTGGGGAAAAGCCCATCTTTTTCAGGAAGGAAACTGCCATCTTCACTCAGCATGTGACTCCAGGCCTAAAGCAATGTGGTTGATTCTTAAACTGCCCTCTGGGCAATTAAGGATTGGCAATAAATACTGGCCTAGCCAGCCATGCCCTCATCCTGTGAGAAAATAAAAAAAACTGAACGTTATTGCAAAAAGAGATAAAATTAAACTGATAAGAGGAACCACGTAGATAGATATCTCCTATTTACATGAACCCTTAGACAAATGAGCTCAGAATTATGAGGGTCTTGTGCAGGGGTGCAGGACCTCGAACAGTCTGGAAGACTGGGCAAAAAAATAAAAGAAGATACATCAAAAGACATTCACAGTGACAACACAAGATCAATCATTGAGAAGAGGACACCCTGAGTTCGGAAGTGACTATCAGAGTGAAACTGGTCAATTCATCACAGGTTGTAACAAGATCTTAGTCAAACAGTTAGATAATGTGCGGATTGAGTGCTTCCTAAGAACTAATTAGTTAATAAGAAGGAAGTTGTATTATATTCTAATTTGGCTGCCTGTCCTTTGTTTGTCATGAAAGTTGAGACCCCTGTGGTAGAACGGTCAACAACATGATGTACTCAGATTATTGACCTGACACATATGCTGTACAACTACTCTAATGTTGAAATAAGTGGTGATAGAACCATAAATTTCTGCAGTTCCGAGGAAAAACTGCCCACTTGTTGGTTTTATGAAGTCTAAGGAGGAAGCTGGTGAAATTAGATCTGATTATAACTCATAAAATCAATCTTGGCAGCAGTTGTAAAACTGTGCTTGAGTGCTCTACACATTAGATGGTCACAATCTGGTGGTGAAAATTAGAGGAGAGTGTGAATAGACAGGTTAAATCTGGAAGATGAACCAGAACAAAAGAACAAAAGGAGTTGGAGGAGGCCATTCAGCCTCCTGAGCCTGCTGCACCATTTGATCTGTGCTCTCAGCTCCCCTTTCCTGTCCAGTCTCCACACCCCTTAACTCTTCTGCAATCAAAATCCTCAATTCAGCACTACTCATATTCAATGACCCAGACTCAACTACTCTCTAGGAAGAGAATTTCCCAGACTCCCTGGGAAAAACAAATACATCTCAGTGTTAAATGGGAGCTCCCTCCCTTAGTCACCCCAGAATAATAGGGTTCAGTGGACCATGCATGTCTTCTAACTTCTACCTGCATTTCCGTTTCCAATCTAAATTACCTAGGCAGCTTGAAAATCAGAAACAAACTTCTTGGGAGTTTGGGAAGTATAACAGGGTTGATTTGCTCTTCACAAGTGAAATACACATATGTTGCACCAGGGTAGCATTCGCAACTCCTTCCAGCGCTTCTCCATGGCGATGTATGAGTGAACTCACAAACTGGGCAGATTACAAGCGATTTGCTGGGCACAGGGCGGGCGGCGCAGCGAGTGCGAAGATTGCACTTCTGAGGTCGAGACGGATTGAAGATTAATTTGCAGGCTCTCTCCCACCATAAAAGGACAGCCTGTTAATGACGCGGGCGGTGTGGGGAAGTCGCCTCCCTCCCAAGTGCTGTCCACACGAGCAGGAGGCGAGAGAGCAAACACAGGAAGGTCTCAGTGAGCACAGAGCAACACGGCTGACAGCCCGGGGACCCCCCCGCCTTATATACACACACACACTTCATTCACTCACTCATTCTCAGCCAAGCTAAAGATCAGATCGCCTTTTATTGCTGGAATAGCCAGGCTGCATCTCTGCACAGGGAGAGGAAGCCAGAGTGAACCACAGAAGCCCCCGATCCTTTCACAGGCTAACAGCACAGTGGTGCATCCTACCCCTCCTGCTCAGCTGGCTTCCCATCTCCGCGATGCTTCTCTACTATTACCACCAGAGGTTCGGTCCCCGGAGTCGCCTCTTCCACTTAATGCTGCTACTGCTGGTCCCAGGCTGTGCCGCCTTCAACCTGGATGTGTCCCGGCCGGCAGTTTACAGCGGGCCCCCAGGCAGCTACTTTGGATACTCGGTGGATTTCTACTCGCCCGATCAAAACACGTGAGGAACATCCTACTCTTTCTGTTTCTTAAATAAATACTGAGAACCAAAAAATGTTGCCAGAACTCCACACCTCGTTGTTGCTAAATTTGTTTGAGCAATTTGTCAGATTGCGTCTATTCCATCATCTTGTTGTGACTCCCATAATTTGGAGCATGTGATGGAGACGGTTTGCACTGGGCGTTTGGAGTTGATGGTAACAGTTTCTGATTTTGCTTTAACCCTGTGTTGTGACTTTTGTTTTGTTTTTGTTGGTGGTATTGGGGGTGGTGTCTCCAGAGTCAGTGTCCTTGTTGGAGCTCCGAAAGCCAACACTAGCCAACCCGGGATAGTGGAGGGAGGAGCGGTGTATTTCTGCAGCTGGGCAACAGGAGGTGCTACTTGCAGCCAGATTCCTTTCGACAGAAGCAGTAAGTATTGAGAAGCATCCAGCTCCACCTCACCCCGTGCCAATTCTTTCCCCGGTGCTTGAACTTATTCCTTCCTCCCCTGCTGAGCCACAGATAAACCCTCAATCTAGGCAGGGAAAAAGCCCCCAGAGAACTGCAATCGCGTGCATACATTTTATGTCTGCTAGCTGACTTTTGTTTTATCTCAGACTACCACGAAACGATCACTTAAGAACTACATATAGGACTAAATTACAGTTTTAAAAGATATGTGTTGTTCAGCTCGGAAAAAATGTACGTTTAATTCCTACTACGAATACTAAATGTTCGATATAAGGTTAAAAAGTCATTTGGTTAAGGGTATAGCCATCGCTTTAAGTCTTGTGTAATCGAATTAGATAATTAAGATGATGACATTTTCAAAATGCAACGTGTTTGCTGTCAGTTTCCTCAACTGAGATCACAACGTAAAACGATTCATCCGAGGAAATCAATTCAAGGTTATTAATCTAAAATGAAACAGATAAATTATTCTTCCCAATGCATAAGAATTAACAAAAAGAAATTGCTTTATATATATCTGCGCTTTATTAATTTACATTTTATGCTAAAATAACTAAAATTTATATTTTGGTTTTAAATGTGGATCTCCCTTTTTTTAATAGTTGCATAAAAAGTAAAATTTATGTAGAAATAGCTGAAATGAATGCCTACATGAATACTCATGGTTGAGTCTTGAGGAAAAATAGTTTAGAAATATATTAAACAAAAGCCACTGCTCACTCAGTTTTTTTGTATAAATATCCAGGTATCTTGTTGATCTGTAAGTATTTTGGCAAAGATAGAGCTGTATAGAGCAGCTTGTGCAGGATCCATGTCTTAGGAACTGGAGAGGGATGAGGTGCAGGGTTGGGAGATTGCTAAGTATGATTTCTGATGGTTGTGAAACAGCAGAAGCAAGCAGACTCCTTAAATTGAATTTAACATCTGTTGACAACTTTTTTTTTATTACATGTTTGAAGTGAAGCTGTATAAGGGCAGTCAAGCATTCCCCCTCCTTAACAATTCATAAAGAAGTTCATGGACAGGCAGTGAAATTGGGGAAGGATGAACATGTGGGAAATCAGTTTGCTTCAAAAAGAGAGGGGGTGAAGAATTGTCTGCTTTTTATTAAAGACTGAGAAGCATCATAATTGAGCTGATTTTTTAAACAGATGGTTCCTTTTATGTTGACATCTGCAAAGTATATGTTAAACAAAGTTGGAGAGATGTCTCCGGTTGTGCGTATGTATAATTAAATCATGAACCAGTTTTTGCTCCTTTCTTTAAAATAAAGCAATTAAAGAAAGCTATATTCTGTTAGCAGGAATTTAATGACATTGTGTCATATAACTTATCATTGAGCATTTTAAAAATTTAAAATGTGAAATTTTCTAAGTATCATCACATCTGTAAGTAAGGGAAATTATCATCAAATGGTTCTTTATAAATTGAGTACAATAAAGAGCAGGATTATAAAAATAGTTACTGAGAAAAACTGATTTATACACTTTCCTTTGAGACTCAATTTGGAGTTAGCTAATTCATTGTGAAAACAACTCTAACAAATTACTAAATCATTATTCTTTGTTATTGACAATCTTCTGGGATACAATTAAAGTGTGGGAATACAGATTAAATATAATCACAAGGCATTAATGTTGGCATGGTACAATTTGCAAATGATCTCAATGTGATAAAATATGAAACACTATGATTTTATTCCTTTTTTGCTGCCTGTAAATGAAAAGATGATCTTAAAACAGGCATAATAATCTTTTTGTTAACTTTAGGTAACAGAAGCATCAAAATTAATGGCACCAGGGAATCTATTGAATTTAAATCCAATCAGTGGTTTGGGGCAACAGTCAAATCACATAAAGAAAAGGTTGTGGTAAGTCCTTAGATCCTATAAAGTTCAAAACTTTGAGTCAGTTCAGTGTGGATATCAACCTGTTCAGATCCCTGAAGCAGGTGGGACTTTCAACCCAGACATCTGGCACTACCAGAGACACTATCACTATGCCACAAGTGCCCTTGAGTTAGACACATACTTGGATGTTTTTTAATAAGTGCCTATTTTACTAGAGCTTGATATTGAAATTTGTAAATGGTACATAACAATATAAGTAACATCTTTTTAGGTTTACATTGTAAAAATGTAATATGCAGTATACACAATAACATGCAACTCATTTGACTTTTGTACACTTTCCAGCTTCTTTCTTTTTAATTAGCTTAATTTATTTATATAATGTGGTAATTGTGCTTAGCTTATATCCATTAGGTAAATGAATTACTAATTTGTGGGAACGTGTACTGCCTGAAACAGTAGACCATAAGACGTAGGAGCAGATGTAGGCTATTTGACCCATCAAGTCTAATGTGCCATTCAACGAAATCACGACTGACTTGATTATCCTCAAACCCACTTTCCTGCCTTATCCCAATTTCTTTAATCATTAGAAATCTGACTACCTCAGCTATAAATATACTTGATGACACAATTTTGACAGCACTCTGCAGTAAAGAATTCCATAGATTCAATACCCACTAAGAAAAGAAACATCCTCCTCACTTCCATTTTAAATGGGTAACTTCCTACTCTGCGATTATGCCCTATGATCCTCAATTCTCTCACAAGGAGAAGCAACTTTTCCACATCAACACTGCCAAGCCCCCTAAGACTCTTATATGTTGCGATAAGGTAACATTTTATTCTTCTAAACTACAAAGAGTGCAAGCCTAATATACTCAATCTTTTAAGAAATTTCCTCTATTCCTGGGTCAAGTTAGTGAACCTTCTCTGGATTGCATCCAATATCAGAATGTCTTTCCTTATATGAGGGGACCAAAATTATTCACAGTATTCCAGGTGTGGTCTGACTAGTGTCTTGTATAGTTTTAACAAGACATCTCTATTTTTATACTCCATTCCTTTCGAAATAAAGGCTAACATTCCATTTGCCTTTTCTATTACCCACTGAACTTGGGTGCTAGCTTTTTGTGATACATGCACTAAGACCGCCAAATACCTTTCTGTAGTCTTTCCACAGTTAAATAATTTTCACTCTTCCTTTCTTCCTGCCAAAGTGTTTAATATCGTACTTTCCTACATTATATTTCATGTGCCAAATTTTTGCCCATTCACTTAACATGTCTATGTCCTCTATAAACTCTTATGTCATCCTCACTACTTGCCTTCCAACCTATTTTTGTATCATCCACAAACTTGATAATAGTACATTCACTCCTGGCATCCAAGTTATTAACATATATTGTAAATAAGTGTGGCCCAGCATTGATCGCTGTGAAACTCCAAAAGTTACAGGTTGTCATCCTGAAAATGTCCCTGTTATCTCAGGTCTCTGTCTTCTATTAGTTAGCAAATCCTCTATCCATGCTATTAACCCTAACCCTAACCCTAACCCTAACCCTATCACACCTCCAACACCATGGACTCTTAAACAAAAACAGATTTTGCTAGAGAAACTCAGCACATCTAGACAAAGCAAAATTAACATTTTAAACTTCGAAGAAGAGCGTTTCTTCAGATCTTCAGCATTTACAGTTCTTTGTGTTATTACCGTGAGCTCTTATCTTATTAAGTAGCCTTACGAACAGTACCTTATCAAATGTCTTTTGGAAATTCAAATACATTACGTCCTCTATCCTGCTTGTTACCTCCTCAAAGAACTGTAATAAATTTGTCAGGAATGAGTTCTCCTTTATGAAGTTATGCTTAATCTGTTCAATTACATGATGTTTTTCTAGGTGCTCTGTTATTACATCTTTTATAAAAAATAGACGCAAATATTTTCCCAATGCCAGATATTAAGCTAACTGGCCCATAATTAGCTGTTCTTTCATCTCCTTCATTTCATTTTTGAATAGAAGTGTTACATTGGTAGTTCTTTAATCCCCTAGGACTTTTCCAGAATGAATGGATTCTCTACAGCTATCTCTACAGCTACCTCCATTAAATTCCAAGGATCCAGCCCATTGGATCCTAGTCGTTTTTCTCTAGTGCAGGTTATTTCTACCTCCATGTTTAGGCCTTGATTATTTAGTAGTGTTGGAATGTTGTTAGTATCCTCTACCATGAAGACTGATGGAAAGCAGTTGTTGAACTTTTGCCATTTCTGGTCATACCTACTACCGGTGTCCACCTATCACCACCGTTCCACTATCCCCCACCCCCACCCCCCCTCTTTTTACCTGCAGTTCCCCCAATCCCCAAATCCAGTCCTGAAGAAGGGTAATACCCAAAATGTTGACTTCTCCCTTCCTCCAGATACTGCCTGGCTTGCTGTGTTCTTCCAGCCTCCTGTTTGTCTACCCTGGATTCTAGCATCTGCAGTTTTTTTGTCTCTTCCCATTATTATTTCTCCAGCCTCATTCTCTCAGGGCCTTACACACACTATTGCCTCTCTCTTCCTTTTAATATTTTTAAAGAAATAGTCTGTTGTGTGACGACTAACTCTAGATTATATTGCATCAAAAGTGGGATTATATGTTTTCAGTTCTTTTTATATTGAAAAACAGGTTGCTAACATTAGCTTTTTTACATGGGTCAAAATTTAAGTTATTTGTAATGTTGTAAATAACTTGTTGGATGATTAAAAATAAATTTGATGTAATTGAAGCTTAATGATTGTGCCATTTTGACAAAAGATGTTTTATGTGTATTTTAAGTAAAGGAAATTATTGCTTTATTAATTCATTCATTTTAAATCACTAGGCTTGTGCCCCTCTATATCATTGGCGTGCCCTTAAATTGACTCAAGAAAAAGACCCAGTTGGCACCTGTTATGTGGCAGTTCAGAATTTCAGTGTTTATGCAGAATATTCTCCATGTCGGTCTGGTAGGTTGAGAAAATAAAATGATGAGAATTTCAGTGTAATTTATGTAACCTAAAATATTCACCTTTTCTGTATCCTTGTTCTTGTAATGTATCTGTTTTGTAAGTATAACTTATCTTTATAAGTTTTCAGGTAGTCCATATCCAAAGTTGGAAAATATTAACATGTAAAGTGACACCACTCAGTAAAAATATGCAACCATAAATTCTTCAGGTACATTCCAATGCTTGACATGGAAAATATTTTAGAAGTACGTAGTGCAGCATGCTTTAATTCTAAAAATATTCGTAACATTTTATGAAATCATAGAGTGATAGAGCTGTACAGTATGGAAACAGACCCTTCAGTTCAACTCTTCCATGCCTACCAGGTCTCCTAAATTAATCTAGTCCCAATCACCAGCATTTGGCCCATATCCATCCAAGCCCTTCCTATTCATATACCCATCTAGATGCCTTTTAAATGTTGTAATTGTACCAGCCTCCACCACTTCCTCTGGCAGTTCATTCCATACACACACCATCCTCTGCGTGAAAAAGTTGCCCCTTAGGTCCCTTCCAAATCTTTCCCCTCTCACCCTAAACCTATGCCCTCTAGTTTTGGACTTCCCTGCCCCAGGGAAAAGACGTTTGCTTTTCACCCTATCCACGCCCCTCATGATTTTATAAACCTCTCCCCTCAGCCTCTGACACTCCAGGGAAAATGCCTCCTGTCTGTTCAACCTCTCCGTATAGCTCAAACCCTCTAACTCTGGCAACGTCCTTCTGAATCCTTTCAAGTTTAACAACATCCTTCCTATAGCAGGGAGACCAGAATTGAACACCGTATTGCAAAACTGGCCTAATCAATGTACTGTGCAGCCACAACATGATCTCTCAACTCCTATACTCAATGCACTGACCAACAAAGGCAAGTGTACCAAACACCTTCTTCGCTATCCTGTCCACCTGCAACTCCACTTTCAAGGAACTATGAATCTGCACTCCAAGTTCTCTTTGTTCAACAACACTCCCCAGGACATTATCATTAAGTGTATTAGTCCTGCCCTGATTTGCCTTTCCAAAACGCAGCACCTCACATTGAGCTAAATTAAACTCCAACTGACACTGCTCATCTGAATAAGAGCCTATTGTACTCTGAGGTAATCTTCTTCACTGTCCACTACACCACTAATTTTGGTGTCATCTGCAAACTTACTAACCATACCTCCTACATTCACATCATACACTTATGATTAAAAAGTAGTGAACTAAATTGTTTAAATTTTGGATAGTACACATAAACAAATATGCCAGGAGAAGAAAACAAGAAAACATGTTTCAATGGTGTCAAAGGAGCTTTGCGCTCAATCTGTCTTATGCTCATAAACGTTTATAAGATTTTAATATAATTGCTGATGAGAATGCAGGTCCATTCATTACAATACACATTGCAAACATTTTAGAAATGTTATTCTAAATAAGTAAGATTTATTACACCGATTTACTAGGAACTTGTGCTGCATAAGATAGTAAATCAAATATGACAAAACATATACAGAGCAGTGTATCCAGTGGTGATCAAATACTGTGTAATCGGCATCACTTAAGAATATGGAACAATGAACTCCATGGCAATTTTCAATGTTATCCACAGGTCCCTGAGTTTTCCTTTCTCTTCTAATTCAACATTTCTCGATTGCACAGACCTACATGTGCTAGGACCCAGGCTAAATAGTTCCATGAACAAAAACAAAGTTGCTGGAAAAGCCCAGCAGGTCTGGCAGCATCTATGAAGGGAAAAAACAGAGGTAACGTTTTGGGTCCGGTGACCTTCCCTCCAGTTCTGAGGAAGGGTCACCAGACCAGAAATGTTAACTCTGGTTTTTCCTTCACAGATGCTGCCAGACCTGCTGGGCTTTTCCAGCAACTTTGTTTTTGTTCCTGATTTACAGCATCCTCAGTTCTTTCGGTTTTTAAATAATTCCATGGCTTGTTTGATGGAGTCAAACAAGTTAAACAAAGCTATGTTTAAATTCTTGGTACTCAGGCCTCTAAGTCAGAAGTCACATGACACCGGGTCGTAGTTCAACAGGTTTATTTAAAATCACAAACTTTCGGAGCACTGCTCCTCCATCAGGTGAAGTGACTTCTGACTTTGTCCACCCCAGTCGAACACCGGCATCTCCACATCATACTGAGGGCTCTAAACAAACATTGTGAACAATGTACAAACCACTGTGATGAATCAGGCTATTCGAAGAACTGAAGCTGGTACAAAAAGTCCCTGCTTTGATGTCTGCTTAGAAATACATTAGTAGTTTTTAGTTTATGTGAAGAAGTCACTGCTATGAGAATTTACACTAATATTAATATCATTAAGTATAATTTTCCACACTGTAGCATTTATTAAGAGTAAATTTTAATGAATTTAGAATGACAATGTACTAAATGTGATGAAGTGTTCAAACTATAAGTAGCATTGAGCAATAATTTGAACTCTAACTCTGCCTGATTTCATCAGAGAAGCTATCATATTTTTCAGTCAGGGTTGTGATGAATGCAGTAGAGGAGTGTATTCTAAAGCCAGTGCACATAAAGGTAGTTTTGCTTGTCAGAGCTCAGTCAGCTCAGCTCCAGGATTTGGCTATAGGGGTTCTTCAGGCAAGTGTCCTAGGCCAAACCATCTTCAGTTGCTTCATTAATGACTTTCCCTACGTCCTAAAGTCAGAAGTGGCGATGTGCAATCATCAACAAACAATGTTCAGCATCATTCATGACTCCTGAGACAAAGAAGCAGTCCATGTCCAAACGCAGCAAGACCTGGACAACATCTAGGCTTGGGCTGACAAACGGCAAATAACATTTGCATCATACGAGAATGAGGCAATGACAATCCCCAACAAGAGAGAATCTAACCATCACCCCATCACTCACATTCAATAGCATCACCATCGCTGAGTCTTCAACTATAAACATCCTAGCGGGTACCATTAACCAGAAACTGAATTGGATGCCACATAAATACTTTAGCTAGAAGAGCAGGTTAGGGATTAGGAATCTTGCAATGTGTAACTTCTCTTCTGACTCCCCATAGCCTGTCCATCATGTACAAGGCACAAGTCAGGAATGTAATGGAATATTTCCCACTTGCCTGGATGAGAGCAGCTCAATAACACTCTAGAAGCTTGACACCATCCGGGACAAACAGCTCACTTGATTGGTACCACTTCCACAAACATCTACTCTCCCTACTACCAAGATGCAATACAGAAATTTAGCAAGGATCTTTAGACACAACCTTCCAATTCCACAAGCAGTACCATCCAAAAGGTCTAGACAGCTAGTAAATAGGAAAATCAATATCTGCAGATTTTTCTCCAAGCACCAACTCACCATCCTGATTTAGGAATACGTCACCATTCCTTCAGTATTGCTGGCTTAAAGATTTGGAATCCCCCAATGGTATTGTGAATTTACTTACATCAAATTGACTGCAGCAGTTCAATTAGGCAAGTTACCACCACCTTTCTAAAGGACAACTGGGGATGAGCAATAAAGGTTGGCCCTGTCAGTGAAACCCATATCCCGTGAATGAATAAATAAAATCATAAGGAATGTGTTGGATTACACTGCCATGGTCCAGATTGTTCTATATATAGCAAAAAGCATAACATTTGTGCCAAACAGCATTCAAATAGGAATGCTGACTGGTGCTCCTTTTTTTAAAACATTGTTAGAAGCTATTAATGTCATATTATGCAGGCAAAAGTTAATAAAATCATTTGTAATTTATGAAAGTAATGTAAATTTTATACCAATTTCAGGTCAGCCAGATCCTGAAGGTCAAGGTTTTTGTCAAGCAGGATTTAGCCTTGATTTTACGCAGGTAAACATGTCATTGCTTTTTATTTTAGTTACTTCAGAAAATCAAGCAGAAATCTTTAATTATATGCCATCTGTGTATGTAAACAAAAGAAAAGACATGCAAAGTACATGAGTCAAGAGTCGTTCCTTGCTCTGCAAGATACATTCAAGTGCCTGTACTGAGAAGGGGTTGAAGCTATTTATTTTTTTCAACAAACTGTATTAAACTTCAAAGGTCAGATGATAGTGACACAAACAGTCTTTGTTGACTTTTGTGGTGATATAATTTTCAGGGTATTGCAGGCCTTTCCAATAGTAATAAAATAAATGTTTTTGGATATGAAAGACATAACACCAAGTATTAAGTTTAAAAAAGTGTTAGGACAAGGAAACAACATCTTATACATATTGTTAGAGCAGACTCCTCACCTTGAAACAAAACTTGATTACCAAATCTTCATACAATTTTCCTATTACCACTGCATTTATTGTAATTTTGTAAAAATTATTCTTTTGAGTAGCATCTGGTTAGTCACATTGTCTCTACAGTGTAAATTGATCAGTATTTAATAACAGAATGAGCTGACAATCTGATCAAGCCCAATTTACTTGAATAAAGTGGCTTTGGAATGACATTTGCTAGAATAACAATACTCAAATCCATTTATTGAGAACAATATTAGTGATTACTTATGCAATTTACAAACAAAACAGATCGGCAGTATGAAGTGTTACAGTACTTCAGGACTGTTACCAAATTTTCATTGAGGAATAAGTGTGCAAATGCAAGTGATTTTAAATTAATTTTAAGTACAGACGTTTAAAGCCAATTGTGTTTATGTAGGTCAAGAAGGTTAACTTAGTTGGAAAGAAATATCTTAAACTGAGGGTAATGTGGGAGGTTTATGAGAGAGTGTGAAATTTGTGAGTAGGCACCTGCCTGCAGAAAGTAAAGTGAGTAGATTGAAAATGAAATCACATACTGCAGATTTTCAATATCCATGAAATACCTGAACATGAAACCTTAGAGATTGCAGCATGTCCAGGCAGCTGTTAGAAAGAAGCATTCAGTAGCTTTGACACCCTGATGTTGTAGATTGAATTGATTCACAGCTTTTAACAGGTCCAGTGTTGCTCATATCCTTCAAAGCAATTTCAGTCAGTTTAAACAGAGAAGAGCATGATACTATTATGATACAGGGTATAGAGTCGGCCTCATGCAGACATCTGGAGGCTTTTTGTGTCAAATATTGTGTTACTGTACATGTCCCTTGGAACATATTTAACTTTCTGTATTATGTTAGCATGTCAAACAATAAATCTTACCGACAGGGCTATAGAGAGAGATAGTAGGAACTGCCGATGCTGGAGAATCTGAGAGAACAAGGTGCAGAGCTGGATGAACACAGCAGGCCAAGGAGCATCAGAGGAGCAGGAAAGCTGACATTTTGGGTCTGGACCCTTCTTCAGAAAAAAAAATGATCACAGGTTGATTTACATTTTTTTAAATTTTTTTTTTCTGAAGATGGGTCCAGACCCAAAACGTCAACTTTCCTGCTCCTCCGATGCTGCTTGGCCTGATGTGTTCATCCAGCTCTACACCTTGTTATCTCAAACAGGGCTATAATCAGTTTTGAACTAGTCTTCTTTGCATTTGATGACATTCTTGGTATTTAATGATATTCTTTAATTTATGTTTGATTTCTCCACAAAATATCTGCTTTATAAATATTGCTAGCTAATATGTAGAGAGAAAGATAATGTTTCTTGCAAATTTTTGTGTCTTAAAAAGATTCTGATTTATCTAGAATGGGTATCTGGTGCTTGGAGGACCTGGCAGCTTTTACTGGCAAGGTAGGTCAACAATATCTTTCATAGCTTTAATTCAAATTGGGGAAATACAAGCACAACAATGAATTAGGCAGTGTAACTACAGAACAATAAGGCTGTTATTAGTTCAGCATGTTGCCAATCATCCAGATTTCAATGTGCTTTGAGAGTGTAATGTGATTTGACATTGTTATTTATTAGTATGGCTGTTGAGTATTAGCCTCTTTAATTATTTTTATACATGAATGTCCATTATGAGGAAACTTGATTATATTCTTCTTGCAAAGGTATAGAATAACAAGTAATGTTGAAATGTAAATCAACCTGTGATCAAAAATATCCTGCATAGAGTAATTGTTTAACTATATTATTCACATAGTAGGAACATCTTAATGAATAATGCCATTCTCATTATGTAGACTCAAATCAACAGCAATATTGATGGTAATTACCAAATGTTAAGTTGGACATGTAGAGAAGTCGAAATAAGTCACTGATAGTTCACGAGGCACTGCAAAATGCAAAAGCATCCAAGGTGATCCTAAGATGTTCTGTGCAATTTTGCTCATGCTTTCCTCAAAATCCTACCTCAACTGGGCCAAAAAGTATCATCGCGCCAGCTGTCTAATTTTGGTTTTCAGTTGAATGTGATCGTATCAGAAATGACACTGTCAAGATTGTTGTGATATATGTTTCGTAAGACCATGAGATACACAAGCAGAATTAGTCCATTCAACCCATCAAGTCTGCTCCACCATTCAGTCATGACTGATATGTTTCTACCTGTAACCCGTGATCCCTTTACCAAACAAGATCTAGCCCTCTCTGTTTTGAGTACACACAATGACTTGGCCTCCACTGCCTTCTACAGCAGTTTCGTAGATTAACCACCCTCTGGTTGAAGAAATTCTTACTCATCTCAGTTCTAAAGGGTCATCCATGCATTCTGAGGCTGGGTCCTGAGGTCCAAATCTCTCTTCTTGTGAAAACATCTTCTTTTATTAGTGGAAACATCCATGCTGTCCAAGCCTGTCAGTATTCTCGAAGTTTAGATGAGATCCCCCTCATCCTTCCAAACTCCATCAAGTACAAAGTCAGAGTCCTCAACTGCTCCTCATACGACAAGCCCTTCATCTTGAGATCATTCCTGTAAACTCTCTCTGGACCCTCTGCAATGCTAGCACATCCTTCCTTAGATACAGGGATCAGGATTGCTCACAATATTCCAAATGTGGTCTGACCAGAGCCTTATACAGCCTCAGCAGTACATCCCTGCTCTTGTATTCTATCCCTTTCGAAATTAATACTAACACTGCATTTGCCTTCCTGACTGCCAACTGAACTTGTGTGTTAACCTTAAAAGAATCCTAAACTACGACTCCAAAGTCCCTTTGTGCTTCAGATTTCTGGAGCCTTTTCCCATTTAGAAAATAGTCTTGTTCATCCTACCAAAGTGCATAACCTCTCATTTTCCCAACTGCCACATCATTGCCCACTCTCCTAGCCTGTCCAAGTCCTTCTCCAGTCTCCCTGCTTCCTCAGCAAAACCTGTCCCTCCGCCTACCTTTGTGTCATCTGCAAAGTTAGCAACAATGCTGTCAGTGCCTTCATTCAGGTCCCTAATGTATAACATGAATAGTTGTTGTCCCAATACAGACCTTTGCGGAACGCCACTAGTCAGCAGGTGCCATCCTGAAAAAGACGTTTTATCCGTACTGTCTGTCGTCTGCCAGTCAGTCAATTCTTTATCCATGCCAGTACATTGCCCCTAACCCCATGGGTTCTTATCTTATATAGCAGCCTCCTGTGTAGCACCTTGTCAGAGGCCTTCTGGAAATCGAAATAGATCATGTCCACTGGCTCTCCCTTGTGTAACTTGTTCGTTACTTTCCCAAAGAATTCGAACAGAGTTGTCAGAGATGACCTCCCCTTGACTCAGCCCTAATTTGCTATGCACTTCCAAGTACTTCACAATCTCGTCCTTAATAATGGTCTCTAAAATCTTACCAATGGCCAAGGTCAGGCTAAGCAGCCTTAGCTTCCTGTCTTCTGCCTCCATCCTTTCTTAAATAGGTGGTATTACATTAGCCATTTCTGGGACCCTCCTTGACTTCAGTGATTCCTGAATGATCACCACCTATGCTCCACAATCTCCTCACCTTTCTCCTTCAGATCTATCCATCTGGTCCAGGTTATTTATCCAAATTAGACCTTCCAGCTTCTCCACCATCTTCTCCTTAGTGATGGCCACTACTCTCATCCCTGCCCTGACTTTCTTGAGGTTCTGATGTGCTGCTGGTGTCCTCCATTGTGAAAACCGATGCAAAATACCCATTTAGTTTCTCCCCCATTTCTTCAAGACCCATTGCAACTTCTCCAGCCTCATTTTCCAGTGGTCCAATGTCCACTCTTGTGTCTGTCTTACATTTTAGATACTTAAAAAAAAACTCTTGCTGTCTTATTTTACATTGTTAGCTAGCTTACCCTCATGTTTCATCTTTTCCCCCCTTTAATGTTTTTTTTAAATTATCCTCTGCTGGTTTTTTTTAAAAAGGTTTCCCAATCCTTTAGCTTCCCAATAATCTTCACCATATTGTATGCTTTTTCTTTTGCTTTTATGCTGTCCCTGACCTCCTTTCTCAGCTTTAATTGCTTCATCTTCCCTTTAGCATATTTCTTCTTCCTGGGATGAATTTCCGCTATGTCTCCTGAATTACCCCCAGAAACTCCAGCCATTGCTGCTCCACCATCTTCCCTGTTAGGCTCCCCTTCAAATCAACTCTGGCCAGCTCTTCCCTCATGTCTTCTTAGTTATCTTTACTCAATTGTAATACAATTATGTCTGTTTCCAGCTTGATCCCTCTCAAACTGCAAGGTGAATTCTGTCATATTATGGTCACTGCCCCCAGGTGTTCTTTCACCTTAAGCTCCCTAATCAAGTCTGCCTCATTACCTGTCAGAATTGCCTGTTCCCTAGTGGGCTCTACCACAAGCTGCTCCAAAAAAACCATCTCGCAGATATCCACGAATTCCTTTCTTGAGATCCACTAGCAATCTGATTTTCCCAGTCCACCTGCTTATTGAAGTCCCCCATGATTGTTGTAGTTGTGCCTTTCTTACTTGCATTTTCTATCTCCTGATTTATTTTCTTCCCCACATCCTGATTACTGCTAGGGGGCCTGTACATAACTCCCAACTGGGTCTTTTGTCCTTTGCAGTTCTTCAGCTCTACCCTCACAGATTGTAAGCCTTCTGACTCTATGTCACTTTTCTTACTGTTGAGGCTATCCCCCCCATCCCCACTGTCCTTTCAAAGGGGCATGTATACTTGGATATTTAGTTCCCAGCTCTGATTCCCTTGCAGCCACATCTCTGTGATACTCACATCGTACCTGCCAATTTCAATCTGTGCTACAAGCTCATTTACCTTGTTTCGTATACTATCTGCATTTAAAATTACAATACTTTCAGGCCTGCATTGACTGCCCCCCATCTTATAGTTGTCTCCTTATCTGCTGTGCTTGAAGTTAGATTCCTGACCTTTTCCATACTCTCTGTCCTATTACTTGTTCTGGAAACTTTAATAACCTCTGTTGAACCTTCCCCAACTTTAACTTTTCCCATAATTTTCCATGCAGTTGAACCTACCCCTCCACTAATAGTTTAAAGTCCTATTCACAGGCCTAGTGGTGCAATTCGCCAGGACTCTGATTCCAGCATGATTCAGATGGAGCCTGTCCCATCGGAACAGTTCCCTCCTTCCCCAGTACTGGTGCCAATGTCCCATGATTTTGAAACCCCTTCTCCTACACCAATCTTTGAGCCGCACATTCCCTCCCTTAATCTGGGTGACTTTGTGGTGATTTGCTCATGGATTAGGTATTAATCCAGAGATTATTAATTACCTTTTTGGTTCTGCTTTTTAATTTATCCCCTAGTTTTTCATATTTCCTCTGCAGAACCTCTTTCTTCTTTCTACCTATATCCTTGGTACCTACATAGACCAGGATAACTGGACCTTTCCCCTCCTTTTGCAAGTTCCTCTGCTGCCTGAATGAGATTTCCTGAACCAGGCACCAAGCAACACAGCCTTTGGGACTCTCAATCCTGGCCACAGAGAACACTGTCTGTTCCCTTGTCCATACTCTCCCTGATTGCAACTGCATTTCTTTTTTCTCCACTTTCTTTTCACATAAAAGTATTTTGCAAGAAATGATAATTTTGAAGAAATTAACAACAAAACTGGAGAATGAGACATACTGGTCTAACTCATCTTGCATACTTCAAATGGAGGTCCAGTATGTTCATTTGTTGCTTTTTTTTAACTGTTCTTTCCCTCTGGAAAGACAATAGCACATCTGATGTCATTGTTAAACCGTTAAATACCATGATAGCATCTCTGTCCTTTTGTATCCCACTGCATTCCAAATCACTTAACCAATTTGTGACCCTATATAAAGTTCAATCATTGTGGAATCTCAGTGAAACTTCAGAATAATATTGTATTCGTTCAGTATTCCCCGTGAGCATTTTAACAAATTAAGGATACAGAGTGCACCAGCAATTGACATGCACCATCAGCAAAAAAAATCTCCAGTGAAATAAATGATCCAACAAAATAAATCGGTGTATATTTAATTACAGATACCAGGCAATCACCCCAAGGGATTCTTTTGGGATTTGAATGGTGGTTGTAAAACACTGGATTTTTCTGTCTTTATCATGACAAATGAGCCAGATGATTAGATTACCTGTGTATAACCATTTACTGCCTATTATAATTTTTGATCATCCACGTAGAAGTAGATAAGTATTTTACTTGTTTTGAAATGCTAACTTCATAGCTCAGCTTTAATTTTTGTTCCAGTTTTGTTAATCTGGATGACCATCTACCTAAACACAATGTAGCCATATGTCTAAATGTGGAAGGCACAGTTGCCAATCAGAGAAGATAACAGGCCTGGTGGGGTATCTGACTAGCTCAATAATTCCGTCACAATTTGTCACAGAGTTACATAGCACAG